CAGTCATGACAAGAATTCATAGTTCCAATTTTCAACATCTCGAGCTCTGCGCACCAAGGAATTTCCAATAGCTGTAAAGCACAAGGTCCTGTTTGCACAAACACTGGGGAAAACCCAGTGCTTTCTACACCAGCAGATTTATTTGCAGAGACGCAGGCATGTTTTCCAGGGAGGCTGCCAAACTATCTCCTGAGCCAGTCTAGCTAGCACCTGGGCGACTCCGCAGGGGGCTTTGCAAATAATACCCTCCCTCTGCCAGGATGGAGGCCGCCTAAGTGATTTTGTTTCAGTGTGTTAGGGCACCTTAATCTTCCTAAGCTCTTCTCCTACCCCAGGCCCACCGAAGCCCCTGCCACAGGGGGGTGTGGCCACCAGGCTCTGTGCCCAGGCAGATGGCAGGGGCCTGGGAGCTGCAAATGTGGGGCAAAAGCTTTGAGATCCTAGGATCCTTCTGTATTCTTCAAAATGTGACTGTCTTGGGAAGGTGGGCTGGGTCTGGGTATAGTTCTTAGATTAAAATTTAAGACAAGATGACCAGGTGACAAAGCTACTGACTGAGGAAGAAAGAGAACTAATTGTGACTGGGAACAAACCATGCGCTAAGTTCAGAGCCATTTCTGTGACACGATCTCTCGTCTGAAGTTTTATTAGAACTTGTGTGCAAGATTTTAATTTTCATCCTAAAGAGCCCTCACTGAGTTGTCCTTGCTTGGCAGAGAACCTTTTGCTTTAAGTTTCCATAGAGCCCACTGTTGCTTAATGCCTACCTCCAAATAAAGCATTTTAAAACATCATAACCAATGAGATAATTGTTTTAAACACAGGAGTCTTTTTCAAATGAATGTCTTTGGTGCTTCCTTATAAAGCCAAGCTGTGTATGCTAAAAGAGGTCTCAATCTGGGGGCTGCAGAGATAGTCTCATCCTGCTCTAAGAGCTAAGCAATAAGAGCTACTGAGTTTGATTACCTCTAAAATTTCTTCAGTGTGAGCCATTTTTCTTCGTAATGAGGGAAATGGTCTCTAGTGGAGAAGTATTCTTCCTTATGCATGATTCAGAAGGACTCTTAGATCACGGATGGGACTCAAGTCCTCAAGGGGAACAGGAGGGAATCTGGGCACAGAAACCTTTGGTCGGACCCCATGGGTGGAAGGGCAGCCAGGCGCCCATCTGGAGATGGGGCTCACCTAAGGTGGGGTGAGGTAGGACCCAGTAGGGAACTGCTCTGCAGGTATTCCTGCACCTCTGTCCTTTTTTTTTTTTTTTTTTTTTTTTTTTTATCAGTACCAGGGATCGAACTCACGACCACACACTTGGCAAGGCAAGGGCTTATGCCGCTGAGCTAAACTCCCAGCCCTGCACCTCTGTCGTTTTAAACACATTCTAAGCACGTACTACTGGCAGGAGAAACACACTGAGACCTTGATATCCTAATGCTGCCTTTACAGAGAGGTGACTGGGATGTCACACGCACCCAGCGCTTGGCAAGGGGCTGAGACACTTGCAGAGGGGATGCGACCTTTCCTAGGGAAGGACCCAGTTGTGCTTGCAGCATTTTGTCCCTGCTTTGCTCTTTGACCTCCGCTGGCCTGCTTGGAGAAACAAAAGCATTTTAAGGATCTGTGTTAGTCTGGATGTTTTTGCACCTAGAAATCTTTTGGAGAAAGTCAGCATAGGCACCGCACTGACTCTAATGGTTCTTTAGCCTGTAAAAGTCTTGTAATTCCGCTGGGATATTCAAAATTGGAATTGCACAGAATGCTGGCAGGTGTTCATGCCCCCAAAGTGTGCTCCTTGGGTGACTTCTTCAGCGTCACAACCTGCCCTTTCGTCTTCATTCTCGTGCAAATTGTCCCTCCCGTCGTCGGCAGGAGCCACAGTACTGTTACTTCTTTACTGTCTTTCATAATTTTGCCCAACTGTCTATTGGCTGTTTTCTAAAATCTAATCCATCACATTTACTGATATGCTTCTTATTTTATGCCTTTTAAAAATCAAGAATGTTGTTGCACCCCTGAATTTGGCAATAGCTGGCAGATATTTGATGTGTTTCTGCAATGTGCACCAAGGAGCATTTACTGGTACTCTCTTCGGCACGTGTTAGTAAATTCAGTATGAATATGTGTGGATTTTTAGCTAATAGTTTTAAAGAAAAATGTGTGAATTGCTTCTAATCGCTTTAAAGGAGATAAAGATGAATGCTGATAGCCTTTTAGAATTATCAGCATGCGAAGTTTGTGTGATCCACCGTGCAGCAGGCACTCGGACCCTTGGGACGTGTGTGGAGAGGTTGCAGGGAGGAATCAGGGCTGGTCAGGGTTGAGGATGGCCTACTTAGGGATCCTGGGCCAAAGCCATCAGAAAATTTAGAGTCACAAATGTAAGGATCTGAATATATATATGTATATGTTTTAAAATTAAGTTTATTGGTATGTTTTATATAAACATAAAGATCATTTTCATCATAGAGGATTTATACCTGTACATGATATATCTCAGTTCCTCTTTTTTTTGAGGGGGGAGGTACTGGGGATTGAACTCATGACCTTGTGCTTACCAGGCAGGTGCTTATGCCACTGGGTTAAATCCCCAGCCCTCTTGTTTTTTTGATCCTCTTTTATTTTTATTTATTTATTTTTTTGAGCAGAAAATATTTATGTTCTGGAAAGAAAGCTTTCTTTGTTTCCAAATCCATTTTTTTTTTCAAGGATAAAAAGAAAAGAAGAAGAAGGAGGAGGAGAGGAGGAAGAGGAAAAAGAAGAAGAGGAAGAAAAAGAAGAAGAGGAAGAAGAAGGAGAAGGAGAAGGAGAAGGAGAAGGAAAAGAAGAAAAGTACAACAAAGTTTCAAAACATGTCAATTGGAGGCAACAATGTTACAGACATTAAGCATTGCCATCCCCAAATCATTCACCCAGAGCATAAGACATCTGCCTTCAGTTGTCCAAACAATGCCAGCACAAATCTCTCTTTTCAGCGAACTCAGAGAACTCGGTAGTATAACTATCTTATTATTTTCTTTATATATATATATATATATATATATATATATATATATATATGTATATAACTTTCCTCTTTATAAGTTCATTAGGTCAGGCCTTTGTTACAGTGATGGAAAGCTAACACAGATGGTAGTACTAAAAAGATTACAGAAAAGACACTACAGACCTCAGGGCAGCTTCCAAGGGGGAGGAGCAGGCTCTGATCAGGAAAGATGGATCCCACCAAGGGCTTTGGGGGTGGCAGCAACCATCTAGTTTTTGACCCTGGAGGGTCAAGAGTACATAACTGTTCATTTAAATACAAGTTGTTCCAGTGTATATTTGTGTTTCATGTCATTGTGCATGTGAAGTCATATATTTATTTATTTATTTGCTTGCTTGTTTATTTATTTTTTTTGGTACCGGGGATCAAACTCACAACTTCATGCTTTCCAGGCAGGTGCTTATGCCACTGAGCTAAATCCTCAGCCCTAAGTCATAGTTTTAAACCTCTGATCAGGAAACATTCCTACCTGCTGTAACTTCTAAATGATTAGGCTGTCATGTGAATTTTCCAAGCTGGTTTCAAAGCAGATCGGTGTTAAGGTAAGTCGCTGTATCCGAAAGAGTCACTCTATAACTACTAAAGCCTTCTTTATGAAAAGGGTGGTTGGGAAAGGGCATCGAGGGGTGCTTTTAACCTGATCAAGGAATCAATATTTTGCCATAGAGAGACATAGGTGTTTCTTTGCACAATTTAACTAGACTAGAATTTAACTTTGCAGTGGTGTTGGTATGAAAGAGATCAGAAAGGAAAAACACTATTACATTCAATAAAGTTTTGATATTGCATGGACTGCAGGCAGTCTTGCATTAACAGGATTGAAATAGAAGGTTCTTATCATTTTGGTGAAGGCAGAAGAAGAGACCTGAGAGTCTAAGAAGCCTTCAACAGCACTGTGGACAGGACGGTGGTGTGGCTACCGCCAGCGGTGAGTAGAAGGGTCAGTCTCACTAGGAAAACGATTTCTGCTGATTTTTCTTATTCCTATGCATGGCTCTAGTCCATTTGGAAGTGCTTTCATAAAATACCCGAGGCCTGATGTTTTATAAAGAAGAGAGGTTTACTTAGCGCAGTTTTGGAGGCTGAAAGTCAGAGATTGGGTGCCCCCATCAATTCCACCCCTCTGCAGGTATCCTGCTAAGTGGTGCCACTGTGGTTAGAACAGGTGTGGGAGGAAGATATCACATGACAGGACAGGAAGACAGAGGAAAGGAGGGGCCACGCCTGGCGTTTCTATCATAGCTGATCCTCATAAGAACCCATCAGGCTCCCAAGAGCCCGCATCAACCCCTTCCAAGGACAGAACCCAGTGACGAAATACCATGCACTGAATGCCAGCCCTTAAAGATTCCTGCAGCCCTTGCTCTCAAGGGCACATTCAAATCATGCCGGGAGACGTGACTCTCAGACAAGTGAAGGAGGTTAAGCCAAAGTGTCTAACGCCTTACTGTCAATAATCTCAGTGCGAAAGAGGCTGCCAGTAATGTTTCAGAGAGATTTGAAAATTTTCCCTTAATGCTTGGTTCTGAGTCCAGCCAGTGCAAAAATGACGTGGGCACTCACTTCCCATATTTGAAAGAATGCATCTGTCACTATGTTAACTTTTGGCAGTGGCTTTCCTGGTTCTCTGAATGGTTCACTTGACATGACCAATTGTTGAAGGGTTATAAAATATTTCCTCAAGCTGGCTTATTAATTAATTAATTTATTCTGTAAGTTTGAGGCCTAAACAAAGTGCAGTCTGAGAGCTTCCAGGGCACCATTTAGCCACTAAGGGTAAACACCTAAGATCGAGGGGTCATTTTTCTGGCAATGCCTGGATATTGGGCTCTAGGACATTCAGCGCGGGAAAATCACCATATCTGATATTACAGTCACAACTAGCTGATCGCCGTATAATTAATTAGACACAGGTTCAAAAATGGTACGTCACGTGCTAAAAAAAATCGAACGGCACTGAGCTTGTAATGTATATTTTATTTTGCACAAGCTTGCATATATACTGCACATACATTCAGTTTAAGAGAAGATGGAAGGCACACAAGGCAATTGGACTACTGTATCCTTTAAGTGGTACAAAGCAAAAGGTAAAAGTTTGGAGAGTATACAAAAGCTTAAAACACACAAAGGAAAACCCCTTCCCACCCCCCACAACGATGTGTTTATTTTTCCTCCTGTTTTAAAATTTAGTAGCTGCCAAACTAAATTTTTTAAACTTTTACTTTAAAATCAATTGTCTACTGCACCTTTTTTATTTTTCTTTTTAATATGGACAGGGAGTCTCATTGTTTTTTATCATATCAATTAATATTACAGTACATCCTTGGTAATACAAAATTGTACACCTTCATCAAATAAATTAGGATAAATTAAACCAATAAATTATGCAAAGTCTTCAGAACAATAGACAATAACAAAAATCCACAATTGAAATTGCCTCTAGCTAAAAAAAAATCAAAAATTGACTTTATCAGTTCAGTTATTGTACTATATTCAAATCAAAGGGTCTTTATTACAAAAGAAAGAGCTTCATAATGCTATTTACAACATATTGCTAAATAATATAAAGGCAGTGTTTTGTCACGGTTTATACTATTTACATATGAGAAATGGCCGGGACGTTGGGGAAGCCACGATCTTTGATTTTTCTAGGTAGCTCTGAGACCAACCCCAAATTCGTTTTTCCTGTTCTACCTTTGAAGTGGTACTGTACAACTTTCATACAGCTTCCTTATCTCTCTACATGGAGGAATTGTGCATTGAAAAAATACAGAATGAGTACATTTTCGCAAAGGAAGGCCAGCCTGTCCGCCTCTTCCGCATCTGTCTGTGCGCTCGCGAGGTGTCCGATTTGAGAGAGGGCTCAGCTGAAAAGACTCAAAGTCCAGTCGCTTCCGCATTCTGTTATATTCTTAGAAGGAGAACTACAATAAGACGCAAAGGTTAAATACCAGTTTTGATCCCAGCTCTGAACATGAGCATTTGAACTTTAGTTCTTATAGATGGTTCACAACCAACAGATCTACAGAAAACAAAACTGCACTTCCTTCAACAGAACATTTAAGTGCAATACAGTAACTGCTCACTCATATCAAACAGTTATGTGTTTTTAAGGGGAGCTTTTTAAAAACAATGCTTCTTGGAATTTGCAAACACAGAGTTTGTACTAGAAGGAAACATTTGTACTAGCCACACCAATGAATATAATATACATGGCAAAGAGATTTTGTACTCTCTTCAGATATACACTGCTCTCAGGGGGGTCTGTAAACCACTTGTTCGCTGATGAATCTATGATTGTTTTGGGGGGCATCCTATCTTAACCCCCCCAAACCTTTAGCTTAATGACTCTATATTAACCTGCATATGTGTGGGCATGGGGCACTTCCTAAATGTCTTCATGTACATAAAAGAAATTTCATAAATTTACAGAAACTGAATTACCCTTGCCCTTGACATCTGATAAAAGAGACTGTTATCTTTTAAAAGTAGAGAGCAGGATTTTCAAGAATGCTTTCAACTGTCTATACAGTCACTGTAGTGTTCCTAATAAATTCAACAGATGTTGTGAGAATGTAGTTATTTATTAAAATCTCATGTCTTACGTAACAACAGCCATGAGGTTAAATATTTACATTGCTTTATAAAAGTTCCCCTCTTGCTTTAGTGTTTATCCATTTTGCTTTTTTTTTTACTGTTGTTTTAAATCTTTTAAATGATATTCACCCACGTTCCCAGTACAGTAACAAAGATTCTGCAAACATAAAACACTTTAATTAAATAATACTCGGAGGCACAAAGCAAACTTTAGGAATCTGTGGGTGAAGTTACTTAAATAACTGCTACTTTCTAACATCTTCCACATATTTTACCATTTAATGTGAAACATCCTTATTAAACAGCCAGAGAGACGGTAAGAATTAAATTTTTGTTGTCGCAAATAGAACATTCTTCTCACAAAACATAACAAATGTCTAAAATAGGTTCTCAAATCTAGATAGGAAAAGGAAAGTTTTCCACTTCACACGCATATATATATTTTTACATGTGTGTGTACGTGTGGATGTGTTTCCGCGTCCACACATGTGCACACACATACAGAGCACACGGTATGAAATATTGCTTCTATACTACTTTTCATCAGGCTAAGAAAACACAAGATTTGCACCACAGTTACAAAAAATTGGCTTCTACAAGAATTTTCAAAACTCGGATGCTGCTCGAACAATTGAGGAAAAAATAATTTGCGGTATCAAACGGTTCTAAAAATTCTCTTCTTCAAAAACGTATTTCTCCCGCTTCGTTTTAAAAAGACACAAAATATGCATAGCTATCAACGTTATGTCAAACAGCCAGGAAAAAAAATCTAGTGTTTATTGCAGCTGTAGTAATTGGAAACAAAGTCAAAAAGATGAATTCGAAAGCCACAGAAGGCACAAGAACAATTGTACTTTGTGGGAGAAAACTGGTATTTTGAAGGATTTTTTAAAATCCCCCCGCTGGTGCATTTTTAGATCTAGGCACAGACTATAACCTCAAGTGTACACGCAGAAAAGAATTTAGTTAACAGAAAGTAAGTGGTAGTGTGGAATTGCAACGTGGACTTTGGACTTTTTTCTCTCCTATGTCAACTGTCCCCCACTTTCACCCTCCCACCACGGAAAGTCAGTTTTCTCCTATGGACCCCACTTTTTACTTGGTGAGAGCTGACCTGAACTTTGGAAGGTGGTGGTTTTTAAAAAACACTGTTCAATAAGCGTTTTGAGAGACAGGCTTTTGTCATTCTCCGGTGTACAAGATTCTGATTGCCTAAGTGGAGGAGAGATCACCTAAAAGCAAAGACTTTGAGAACCGAGGTGTGTTTATCCTCACATTGCGATTTCTACTTGGAACTTGGAGGGTCTCCTCGGTAGCTGAGATGTTCGCCTGCAAACACACACGTGTTTGATTTGCCTATTTAAATTACAAAGGCAGGGGAAAAGCACATTCAAAATCCAAATAAACTTGGAATCACTACTTCACTTGCCACAGATTGAGAGGCGATAACTCGCAGTCTGTTTCCCAAGGTGAATCTGCTACAGCTTCTTTGCCTTTTACCTTGCAAAGAGCAACGTGCTGCTGATGTGAATTACACGGAACAGCAAAGATCTCATTGTGCAGTGAGTGACACAAGCAATGAAATCACGTGATGCCAAATAAGCAAGTCAGAAGTGTGACCAGAAGTGGTGATAAATAGGTGCTGATATATATGTGCACATGGGTGGGAGGATGCCACTGGGGGGTGGGCATGGCCCCGGACGCAGGGTAGATGGGTCAGTGTCCCAGCCCCGGCCACTGCAGGACCTGGCCACACTTCCAGCGCCTGTTAGTGTCCGGGCGATCAGGGCACCGGAGCACTGCACCACTGAATTTAAAGTCAGCAGGTTTTAAGGCTTTGTGCTGACAATGACTGTGTTCCCACATTCCCATCCATCAGCAGAATTTATAAATGACGTTGAACAGCAACGATCCGGCCTGGTCGGCAGTCACAAGTCTACCTGCGTTCTCCAAAGTCAAATGCATCTTTTTTATGAAAATTAAGGGGGAATGGCATTTATCTTCTGTGTGATTTAAATACCAGGTTTGGTACTGTGTCGTTTTAGAGCCGTAGATCAAAAGGGAAGGATGGGCCTGGAAAACACTATTAAAGAGAATATTGGATTCTTACTGCGTTAGAACACAAAACCCCACCCAAGGAAACAAGTGTGCATGCCGCTTGACTTTTAAAACGCAAGTATGGGACACTGCATCATTGAAAAACTGGAAAAGAAAGAAAAAAGAAGAGACCCACTGACGAATGCACGGTTCAGCAGCTAGCTCTCTTAGCTGTGCTGAAATTGTGTCTTTTGAGTTAACCCCAAACTTTCCTATGCGTCTCACATTTTGGTCAATATTAGCTTCTGAATTAGAAGAGATAGTATGGGCTGCTTTAAGATGTGATAACTACAGTGAAGAAACACTTAGCCATCACCACTTTGAATACCCATCCGTGTAGTGTGCAATCACACACGGACACAGACCAGCTGCAACTTCTAGCGTAGGTGAGGATTGTATGGTCCATTGGGGATTCCTTTATTCCTTATTGTAGAAAGGCATTCAGAAAATGAGGGTTCAGAAAAAAAGTTAATTGAACAGAAATAACAATTCTCGTAGGCGTATCAACAAAGTGAAGCAGAGTAAACCTCAAATGTATGTGCCTTTTTAATAGCTGAAGCAAAATAAATAGAAAACGATAGCAAAGCACAGCCTTTTTCTCTATGAAAACCGACCTAAAAGCTCACTTAGTAGGAAGAAGAACCAACTACAGAGTCTGGAGAGGTGGCCAGAAAGCAGGTATGGGTTTCAAGTCCCGTCTTGAAAGAGTCAGTAGGGTACAAAATCGCTTTGCCTCCATTAGAAACTGGTACTGCTAGTCGGGAGGGGGGTGTTTGCCATTTCTCTAAGGAAGGGCCTGAGAGCAATTATTTTTCTTTGCAATTTGGCCTTTGGGGGTATTTTTGAAAAGTGAGCTCCTCATTTGTCATTGGTGTTATTTCATTAAGAAAGAAAGAAAAAGCTACTTACAGAGTTCAAACCAAACAAAATATTTAAATGTATGAAGTGGTTCCTTTGCATTTTTAGACCTCCTTAACAGTGAAAAGCAGAGACAAGCCACCATCTGTAGTGCTGTGCAGTGTCATGGCGTGGCCTCGGCCACCACCATTTGCAATATGCCACCAAACAAGCAGAGGCATCTTTGCCAAATGCCCTTCTTGCGAACATACTTCACACACTCCAGCATTCTTTTTCCCTGAAAATTAACCCTCTGTTTTAGTCTCCAAATGTTAAGGGCCTCGGGCAAAAGTAAACTAAAGGAAGAAGGAAAATAACCATCCCCTTGTAATGCAAAACAATCAAGGGAGTGAGAGAAAGATGATGAGGGGGAATAACCAGCTGATTTCATAACATACCCATGCCTCCCATACACACACAGATGAAATCAAAATCCAGACACATACAGGAAGTCAGACATCCAAAGGGGACCGCTACTATTCATACATTCAAGAGTGGTCGAAATCTCTACTCATGAAGCAGCTCTTGTAGGCAGTTCGGGGATTTGAATATCTCAGGGACTTCACTATCCAGCTTGCAGATGACCTTGTATATGGCCTTCTTCCAGGAAGGATCAACATCTTTGCCTGCGATAATGGCATTGAAAAACTCTCGTAATGTGATCTGCGCAACTTCCAGGAATCTCTCTGGAACCTGCTGATACAAGGAGACAACGGCGTTAATAAAGTTTTCAGTTTCAAGTCCCTAGTTCTTCAAAGGAAACTGAGCTAAGTTCATTCTTTCAGAAAGGGGCTTACGTGGCACCTGTATGTCTTTCTAAAAATGGCCGGGTCTCTATTCTCTTATGTAAAGTCGTTATATATAGCAGCATTGTAATGTGGGACGCGGCTTTGTCAGGTCGGAGGAAGAGGCTGTGCAAGGCATACAAGCAGACTTACCTAGTGAGAAGCTAGCATTTCGCTGGGGGAGGGCTTGGGATTCCTCACTTCTTCAAATGGACCCATTCAAGGCCAAAGTGTCCAACTAACTTTCTCAGAATTTCACTTATCTTTCTTTTGATTTCCATTGTGAAAAAAATATGTTCATCAAATTTAATACTAAGTATTGGGCTTCTATATAAACTAAAACTGTATTTTTCAATGAAGAAATTCTCTAAAATCTTTAATGTCCCATTTGTATCAGATAATTATGAATTTAATATGCACTTGCATCTTAATCTGCCCTATAACGTACTCTCCACATACAAAGGAGTAAGATAATGTCATGAACATGAAGCCATAAAATGTAAGGTGCAAACTGAACCCTAAAATATTGACTCAGAACTACTTTACCTTGAGATGAGAATGGACCCATAAAAGATTGATGTAGGCAGCTGATCGTAATTATAGAAATAAACATTTATTGAGTGCTAATTGTGTACCAGGCACTGGGCTGACTTATTAAATGTGAATGTCACTCCATTTTTCCAACTGCAGTACAAGCTTTTATTATCCCACTTATATACAACAGGTAAACTGAGATTCAGAGAGATCAAGGAAATTGCACAAAGACAAACATTTCTCAAATACTCTTTTTAGAATCCTTATTGTTAAGCGTTTTCTTCCACAGCAATTAATATGTATCTGTCATGTATATGTATGTGTGTGTCTGTGTTCTCTTGATTTTATAGCAGGGAAAAGGGTAGCAAATGAGGTATATACTTAACAGTCTTTTGTAAGCTACTCATGGTAAAGTACTGCATAACATCCCCTACACCAACATAATGGATTCACAGAAAATATTTCTATGAACTCCTAATTTTTTAAGTATATGTTGATACTCAGTAGATTTATTTAGTGGGGTACTTATGCCTTGGCAATGTTTTATTTTTACAGTAAGTGCATTAATGTACCAGTAATATATGTAAACTCGTCTATCTACACATATATAGAGAGGAAAGATTCTCATCAGAGTTCAGATATCCACTTATCAAATTTAAAGGGGATACTGTCATGCTGTGTATGTTCAATTCTTTTCTCCCCACTTTTTCTCAACTGGTGCAATAGCCCTAATTATAAGGCTAGTAACTGGTAAAGCAAGCTAGAATGGTCACTGGACATCCCTGGTTTTCACATTTAAAATTGTACAAACAAGTCTACTGGTCCCAATAGCAAGTCCATTGTCTTTTTATGGAAAAATCTAATGAATCCCTAGGAAAACAGAGCTTCACTTGGGGTCCAATGTTGAGCAGCCTTTCCCAAAGGCATTCATACTGGCTTGTCACTGAGGTGTAGCTCCCACTCTGCTGGAAGGTCATCATTGTCTCCCATGGGTGTTTGCAAATGACCATTCCCTGCATGGGGAACTCCCACAAACATCAGTGCTTCCCCCCAGTCTCTGATGTACCCAGTTGGGGGGGAGAACTGAGCCCTCCCACTCACCTTAACCCAAACAGCACTTATGATTGTGAAGCAATCACTGTGAGCACTCCTCCCTGCCCCTGTCAAAGACAACCATCCACATCTCATCCGATGGGCACGGATGGGCATTACAGAGAGAGGATCTGGCAAGTGAGGACCGCAGTGTGCCACTCCCCACTCTGATTACCTGGTTTGGGAGCTGTTACCCAAATGCTACAGAAACATCATCATTGACATATATTAAAATAAACATTTCAAGAACTGTGATCTCAACACAGCCTCGATGAAAATCTATGCTCCTTGAATACTGAGGAAGGCAGTAGGGCTCTAGGATTGCAGGGTGGCAGCACCCCAGGAAGTCCCGCCTACTCTAAGGACCCCACAGGAGTGTAGGGAGCCAGAGGCCAGCAGAGAGGGACTCCTTGGAGACCATCAGAGTTGGGGGACACATTCAGGACAGAGGAGTACTGTGGGAGAGAGCAAGTCTATGGTCAGGCTGATCAGAGAATGTATCTAGGTGACCTCAGAGGTTATGCTTGTCTTTCTTGTTCTGATTGCTTACTACACTTTTTAATGGGGTTAGTGGGTTTTATTCCATCTTAAACATTTATTTCTTGCAGTTGTCATCATGGGCTGTGTGGAGTCCCTTCTGTATTTGTGTCTGATGCTATTTAACTTTTCACCAACTTATATCTAGCTGCAGTGGGCTTATCATTGGTGTCTTTAGATACGAAGCCATGGCTTTGACTCCATGAGCCACTCGGCTCAGTGACTTTGCCAGAGTAGTTTGATAAATGCCATGCTTCATAATGACATCTCACCTTCTGCTCTGTGTACCACTGCTCAGAAGTGGCACTTCTATTCTTCCTCTATGCTTTTAGAATAGGCAACTTAAAATAATAATAGAATTTCAAGAGCTGGAGATCTCAGAAATCATCATTTTCTAGACAAAGACACATTCTCTGAGATGAAGAAATTATGAAATAAAGGAGGGTGACACAAGGTACCTTGCCATTAAACTGGGGTGACCTCCGTCTAATACTTTTTAGAGAAATTTTGACTTGTAAGAGGCATGAAACCCTCATAAAAGCTGTGGATCTGTAATCAAGAAAACGTACCAATGAGTTAGCGCCTTTGAAATTTATGGAAATGGCATTAGACTCCCCAGAAGAAATTGTGATGATTGGTTTTTGTTGGGAAAGGAATAATTCCTTGTTTTGTTTTTGAGAAAAGGTCTCACTGGGTTGCCCATTCTGGTATCAAATTTTTAGTGATCTGCCTGCCTCTGCTTCCCGAGTGCTGGGATTATAGGCATGTGCCACTATGCCTGGCTGATTGGGAAAGAAAGAATTCTTTGTGAAAAAACATAAAGAGCTGTTTGGTGAGTGTTTAATACTCCTGTAGGCAGGAGAGCTGGTAAGAGGACGTTATAATGAGATTGTCTAAGACGGGAGCAACTGATCTTTTCTGCAGGCTCCAGTGTTGGGTAGCAACTGATCTGCTGAGAGGGCGCCAGTGAATTCCATCCACAGGTAGAAATATCACCCTGCGCTCTCTGTCTGAACTCTTACCCCAAGTCCTGTTACCGGAGGTCCTTCTAATGTATTGCAGGGGTATCTTAGAATTCGGGGTTCTGGATGGGCATGATCTCGCCCATATTTTTGGCATCTCCTCACACCTTAATGGCTTTCCAATCACTAATAAACATCTGCAGAAAATCCCTTAGTGACAAGTAATCCCTTATCTTGGTTTCTTTTAATAGAACCCAACAATCTGCAGAATGAACCCTAGACTCCATCTCCTCAGCATCAGGTGGCGACGGTCAATCAAGCCACTGGAATGCAAGACAATGCAGGCTGCGAGGGCGGGGGCGGGGAGCCATGCCTTTGGACAGGCCACAGGGGACAAACAAAAGGCTCCCAAAGTCTCTGGCTGGAACTCCTGAGGCTATTGTGGGAGCTGCTTTGCCTGCCTGCAGGCGTTCTTCAGGAGACCAGAGTGGAAAGTTTGCCGTGATAAAGAGGCATCCCAATATAGGCACCTCACCCCACACCGTCTTGCCTCGGTATGCTGAGGGGAGCGGGCTGGAACCCGGGGAACTGAACATACTCATCCACTTGCAGGGCGCTGGCTGTCAATCCTGTGCCTTTGAGACTCCTCAGAGCAAACCAGGACCTCTGGGGCTTTGGACAGATGGAAAAGTGAGAGATGGTCTCCGGTCCACTCCACCCAGACCTGGGTCACACACACTCACGTGGAGTGTTTGGTCTGTGGTCATTTTGTGACCCTTTTTTTATTTTTAAATCAGAATGAGTGGCAAAGACATTTTCCCCTGTCTTCCTCCTCCTCTTCCCAGTTGCTTTACCTTCAAGGATGATTTGTTTTATTAAACTGACTGTCCCTAGCCTCTGCAGTACATAATAAAAGCCTGACATAGCAGGCTGCCCGCCTTCTGTGTCCTGCAGATAGTCATCATAAGTGTCAGGACATACCAAGGTTAGCGGTCACTGGAAGTGTGCTCGCTGGCCCAAACCTTGCCAAACGCTCTTGGCAGCTGAATGAATGTCACAGAGAATAGAAGGGGAATTACAAAGGTTAAAAAGAAGACAGCCTCTCCTCTTTTCTGGAGACAGAGAAGCTGATTTTTCACACCTCTGAAACATCCGTAAGCTCATTCATCAGCCTCTTGCGGGGGACCGTAACCTTGGCCCCTGTGCGGATCTCCACGGACATCCCTCCATCCTTGATCCCCTTTAAAAACCAGTCCACTGAAATCATTTCATCAGTGAAATCACCTTCACTGAGAGGGATAGAAAACAAGCCCGCCCCCTCCCGAGAAACCACAGGTTGAGGGGGGCTCCCGGAGCAGATGGATGGGTTTCAATTGCATATAGGGAGCTCACCCACACAGTCCCTTTAGGCTAACAATGTTTTCAAACTTCCTGGCCCAGGGGAAAATAGAGGGGTGCATCTGCACAGGTGGGAGTGGCCTAGGGATGAATAAGTAAAACCCCCGCGCAGTGTTTTGGTGAATTTGTTGGCGTTGGGCTGCCTTTTTTTTTTAAATCCACCTCCATTTTTTTAATACTATAAAAGGGCAATAAAATGCTGACTGTGGGAAGACAATGTCAAGGAGAAAAGGGTACTGGTATTTTGGATACTCTTCACTGCTCGCCTTGGAGAGGGAGTTATTCTTGTCACAAACCCTTTTGTCTGCATCTGCTGACTGCTTGCCCGTAGCCAGCAGCATACTTTAACTGTTCTGTCACCTCCTAACATCACATGCATCAGCTGTTG